TTGCCCAAAAGAAGCCGAGGAGATGACGATTTGGGCGAGCACCTTTCAAGGGCCGTCCATGGACTACCAGTGGTTCGATCGCTTTCTGGTGACCTCCGAGAGCCAAGAGATTGCGGACATCCGCGTGGGCCGGGTGCCGGAGGCGCCCCGAAAACCGCCTGAGCCGGGAGCTTTGGGCCCCATGGGTTGGCGTTTGTGGATGAAACCCTTTTGGGGGTGTTCCAAAAAGGACCCAGGAGGGAATCCGGTATTTTTGGGCCCTGGTGGACTTCGGGTTTCAATGGACTGCCAGTTTCGGGGGCTTTCCCGCGCGCGTGCCAAGCCGCTTGCCCGCTTGCCCGCGCGAGGGCGCCAACCGCTCGCACTTCGGGCGCTGGGACTTCCGGCAGCTGGACATCCGCATCCGCGGCACCAGGCTGCGGCGCCGCGCCCAGCAGCTCTTCTCCTCCCCGGATGGGCAGGCGGGGTGCTCGGGAGGGGTGCTCAGGTCGTTGGGCTTGGGGGGGTTTTGGGGCGTTTTTAGTGCCGCACTTCGAGGGCTCGGAGTTCGGATTGGGACCCGGTGGCCCGTTCAGCCACCATGGGTCACTTTGGACTCGGTTCATTTCCCCAAGAGGGTCAAACCGGGTGGCATCCATCCGCTGAGGTGAAGGTCGCAGTGGGCGCACGCGTGGTGGACGCTCCCCGGGTACGCTCTTCTCCTTTGATGGAATTCGTGATGGTCGAGAGCGCTTCCATCTCCTTCATGGCCCCTCGGCTTTTTTGTGGTCGCATCTTCTTGACTTTCAGAGATCCTTACACATATGGCACGGTTTGCGTTTTTTTTTTTGTTGATCCTTTGGAAGGGAATGGATCCCCCACAAACAATGCGGCCCAAGCTGTGGGGACCACGTTGTGTTTTGTGAGTTGGTTGTGTTTGGAGTCTCTTCTGTCAAGTCGCTGAATGATTGAATGGGTGGAATGCACAAACAAAACAAGAAACACCACATGTTTCGTAACCCACACGCATAATACAAAATGCTTCCATTTGCTTCTGAATATGTTTTTCCCTTGTTGGCTTTGAACGGAATTTATCACTACTGCACATGTTTTTCCCTTTTTTTCCAGGGGTCTTAGCCAAATGGAAGAATGGGACAGGTGTTTTCGGGCGTTTTCGCTTTGCTTGTTGAAAGCGTGGGGGGCCTAGAAACCGCATGTTTTTGTTGGCCGAGCCGAGGTCCACGCCAGCCACGCGGGCTCTGAGTTCCCGGGAGACCCCGAGAAGCAGGTGACGTCCTTCTCGTTTTTGTTTTTTGTGTTTTTTTTTCTCACTTTTGGGGTTCCACTTTTGGGGTTCCACTTTTGGGGTTCCACTTTTGGGGTTCCACTTTTGGGGTTCCACTTTTGGGGTTCCACTTTTGGGGTTCCACTTTTGGGGTTCCACTTTTGGGGTTCCACTTTTGGGGTTCCACTTTTGGGGTTCCACTTTTGGGGTTCCACTTTTGGGGTTCCACTTTTGGGGTTCCACTTTTGGGGTTCCACTTTTGGGGTTCCACTTTTGGGGTTCCACTTTTGGGGTTCCACTTTTGGGGTTCCACTTTTGGGGTTCCACTTTTGGGGTTCCACTTTTGGGGTTCCACTTTTGGGGTTCCACTTTTGGGGTTCCACTTTTGGGGTTCCACTTTTGGGGTTCCACTTTTGGGGTTCCACTTTTGGGGTTCCACTTTTGGGGTTCCACTTTTGGGGTTCCACTTTTGGGGTTCCACTTTTGGGGTTCCACTGTTGGAGCATCGAAAAAGGGGAATCGGTTCCACCTTTGGAGAATCGGTTCACTATTGGGGTTCCTCTTTGAGGATTTGTTGAGAACCAGGGTTCCACTTTTGAATCACAAAAAACAAACACAGTGGTTCATGTCCCCTTGGGGAGAAGCCCTAGATTTAAGTCTCCCTATCTCTAGCCAAAAAGTGGAACCCTGACCGGGGGTATGTTTGAAACGGTTGGATGTTTCTTTCTGCAACCTTCTTTTGCTTTTGGGACTCCACACAAAATCCCTATGAGCACTGGACAGACCACCCCTGCGATGTGCCATTTGCAGGTGAAGTACACGCACCTGGACTTTGTGAACCTGGAGACTGCGGGCATGGAGCACTTCCAGGGCATCCTGCCACAGCTTTGGGGCATCAAAGTTCGGTCCCCGGAGGTCCGGGTTGGCGATTTTCTGGTTTCAAGACCCTGGCCTCCTTATGAGCCAAGAACTCCATTTGTTGAACACTAGGTGGTTAAACCATTCAAAGAGGGAGTTCAATAATTGAAGGGGTAGGGTGCTTAGTAGGTAGCAACCACGGTGTTAAACCACTGAGAAGACTTACAACCATGGTAAGTGGGTTATATTCATGGTTACTACCTGCTTACTAAGCACCCTGTCCCTTTGAGTACCTCAACCCTGCCGGAGGTGGAACAAATGCTGGTGCCGCCTTCGCAGCGGAAAGATCTCGAGCGCGTTGTGTGTGATTCCGCCTGAGAGAGACATCTTCGCAGAAAACCGCGTGCTTTGCAATACGGCTGCGTGTCCAACGGGTTGCGTGTCAAATTTAGCTGTTTCAGTCTGTTTTTTCCAGGACAATGCCAGATGTCCACCTATCCTTTCACATTCTCCTGCCCACACGCACACGCAGATTGCACAAATCGCGGCGACGACAGGCTCGCCGACTTCGGTTCTTTGGAGCCTGTCGCAAAGATCCCCGTTTGCCCGTGATGCCTTTGCATCGTGAATTCTCACCGCTGAGCTCCAGATGAATCTGCTGTTGCAAGCTTTGCAGGAGAAACATTCATGCGGATACATGCGGCTGGCGGAGCTATTGCCAAAGACGTAGGGATGGGTGTTCCAGAACCACCCTCGTGAAAAGGCCCCTTGATCTTCCTAGAGGTGAGAACCGGCATGTTATCTATGGGAAGACTGGAAGAATGGCATGACACGCGCAGGCGCAACCCCCCTTTTGCCTCCCTTTGTGCACATACAGGGCCGCATTGAAGCTGTGTTCTGCTGGTTCTAGGATGGGAGGTGAAAAGGACGATGTTGTAAGCTTCCCTTGGACAGCACCACAATTTGTTCCCGAGCGCTCTGGAAAAGCTAAGGCTGGACGGTCAGACCTTTGCTTTCCCGCTCTCATGGCTAGTTTCCATCGGCCTCTGGCGGTATGCTCTGTTGGTTTTGTGGCAAAATCTCTCAGCCAATGTAGTTTCTCTTTGGTTTCCCTTCAGAACACCTGACAACAATTGGCGTGTCTTTTCTAGGGGACCCCCCAAAATGGTGGTTTTGCTCTCAACAGGCACGCCCATTTGCCCTTGGACCACAGGAGACGACACCGGAACCATCCAAAAGTCGCATCCCATGGCAGCACTCCCTTTGAAAGACGAGAATTGGAATCCCTGAATGTGAATCCCCTTGTGGATAGTGCGTACCATGGTCACAAGACAGTTTTAGACAACCATCGTAAAGGTTGCGCATGTTTTGACCATGTCACATGTGATGTGATCGCAGTTTGTCCGGTTCCGCCACATCACCCGTGGCTTGAAGAATCGCTTCTGGGCCCAGGTTGACTTCCGGGCGTAGACTGTATTTGCGTCTGTCTCGCGTGCCGATGGCTAAGGATTGGATAGCCGGCACCTCAGTTCCGCCGGTCAAGTGCAAGCCCGCAGTTCAGCACACATGGTCCGTGAATGCGATCTTTGGCCGCACACTATATGCCAGCAAGCACGACGACAGACCGGAGTGCACCAAGTGTCGCGGATGTATCGAGCCTAACTTGCCGAAACAGTACTGGTGGGAATCGCAAAACCCGACGTACCCTGTACCTGCATAGTACCTTGGATTGACCAGAGGAAGCCTGGACTTTCTGCTTGGAACATGCATAGTGCTTTTGACCCCCTCCGCAGGCTGCTATGCCTCCGAACAAGTGACTATCAGCATTGAGCCCCCTTCGGCCCCCGGATGTTTGAACAAAAAGTAAAACCCGCAGGCCACACGGAGACTAACTCACTTTGCCGGCTTCGTCTTGTCGTCTGGCATTTTTGAGCATTTGTTCGGATATTAGTTCCATCATCTGCCGCTGTCACACTGCTAGAGCTGAATGCACGACGAGGGTAATTTGCAGGCAGCAGATCACATTCTGACCTTTTCGCAGAAACACATGCGCAAGTTGATCGTCAAACAGTCATTGCAAGGAGTTCTATCACTTTCTGCATTCGGTGACCATTGGTGTTGGCTTAAATTTCTCTGCGAAAGATCGGCGATGGAAGATAATACTTTTTTAGTTCGAAAGATTTGCGTAGGGTTCTTGGAGGTATGCTAGTGCACTTACATATTTGCAGACCCCATTCCCTTGTAGACAGGAATATGCGCAGCACCTTTACTTGCATCCTGGATTCGTTGCCAGTGCTGGGAATGGTGCAAACCAAACGTTGGCTAGGCTATTCTGGAGCAAGTTTTGCAGAAAGATCCACGAAAGACCGGCAAAAGCTGCATGCAGGGGCCAGGACGGAGCAATCCCGACAAGTGCAAATGGCAAGGGCGAATGACAGTGACTGCTTGCTTTTAGGCTGCCGCAATGAATCAGCCAAAATATCGAAGGACGGAGTCGCGAAAGATTCGTGAAAGAGAGTTTCTCTGGCCAAGACGGCGTTTTCTGGCAACAGGAGTATTAATCAACTGCCATGCGTAAGCTAAGTCAAGTAGGAGCTTCCGTGCCATCATTTTGTCAGCTCGGTTCTGACCTCTCGACTGGTGACCATGCCGAAAGCCGAGGTCTTTTCGAGGTGTGGGCGGCGGAAAAAGAAGAAGTGCCGGCCTCGGTGGGAAGTTCCATGGCTGAAATGTTCTTGGACTTGGGCATGGCTCACGCGAGGCACGCGGTCGTATACCGGCCACACCCGAAAAGGGATGGCATTGGCCTGGGGCTGTGGTTGCTTGCTGGGGCAGTACGCATGTCCTCTACGTGAGTCGTGGGTCGAGATTTGTTTTTTGTCTCACTCCCTAACTTCTTGGACTTCAGACTGTTTCAACCCTAAGCGGGAAGGGTCATGAAACTGTTCGGACAGATGTGAGCCAATCACCGGAATATTTGGCTGAACTTGTGCCACACAGCCAAAAGTTGTCATTGCGGGGACCAACGAGACAAAACCCTCCATCATTCAAATGACAATCTTCCCAACCAAACGCATTTCGGGGCGCACGCATAGCGCAGCGATAACTGCGCAACTGCCAAACAGTTTCATCGTGAGAGAAAGCCGACATAACGGCTCCCTCATGATCACTTCACGGAGTTCTTGCTGAGGTATGGCCAAGGCCACAAGCTGTCTCGGCTTTACTTTCCTACACCTCGGCAGGTCTGAAATCGCAGGCAGTTGCAGACCCCTGCTGTGCATGGAAGGCATATACGGGTCTTTCCCAAATGCAACGCGTCACCCGTGGGGAAGCCGGCTATATAAAGGGAAAGGCGCAGGTGCCGTCACACTTTTGGGGTTGGCTTCAGGGCGAACGACAGGGAAATGTGAGGGTTCCCCTAACTTAGAGACAGACGTTCATGGTGTGTAGCGAGTTTGAGGAGTTCCGGCATGCTGATTTGAATCAACATCAGCTTGGTACTCCCAGCGCCATGCGCAGTTCGGATGACTATGGATGACAGCACCCAATAGAGAGCTCGCCCTCAGATGGAGCAATCTGATGGGAAGGTCTTCCTAATGCGAAGGTTGACACCAGAGGTCTTGTTTGCTAGCGACGTCTGATTTTTGGTTGGGGAGCCCTTTGGTGGGCGGTCATTTTGGTGTCCACCCAGCATGTGGGCATGGGTCCAAAGTTGAAGCACCAGGAATTGGACCGCAGGTTTTAGTCCTTGTTTCAATCTACCAGGGCAACCCATTTTGGGCACCCTCCCTCTCCAACTAACATGGCAAACATGGCAACTGACAGGGGCTCCCTTCAAAAGGACATGAATCTTCCAGGTATTTCCCCACAGGTGCCATGTTCGTTGGAGGAAGAGTACCTATTTTGGACCCACCAACGCCATGTTTCACTCGCCGCTCCGGACGGAAACCCCTGGTGTTTTTTTTTTTTTTTTTCCGCCGCTCAGGGATGCCATCCAGAAGCTCGAGGAGGGCAAGAAAGAGGCGGCGCCAAGCCGTCGAAATTCCGAAATGGGCGGGGAGTGACTGGGACTGAGGGTCAAGGAACATGGCAACAGGTGGCCATGGGTCAAAACCGTTTTGGGAACCCATTTTGGTTGGCAGGTGAACTCACCACCTTTTAGAACCTATTTTAGTGGTTGGATTGGGATGTTCACTGGGGGTACGATTTGCGTTTTGACCCATGGCCAGGTGTCCTTTTTGGTTGGTTTGCGGAGAAACAATAGAAGGCCCTGGTGTAGGTGGTTCAATCATCTACCAGGGCCATCTATTTTCCAAAAACACCCATGCTCTGCAGGGGTGGCTCCAAGCTTTGTGTCCGGCGGAGGTACGCCACGTTTTCACATTGAGCGGAATATAGGCTCCACCATGTTCGCTGCTGGCTAGTTTGAGCAACAGAAAACGGCCAGTCGGCACCCCATATTTGGCAGTGTCTCAAAATTAGGGTACCCCTTTGTGGGTGGTTTCCCCTTGCCGGTTTCCCCTATTGGTCTTTTCCTTGATACTCAAAAGGGCGACCGCTGGCAGGAGTCAGCGCCTGTGCCGGAGCCGGAGAGGCTCGCGTAGCTCCGGGGTGTTGAGATGTGGCTGGAACTGTCGCCATCTTTACCGGGGTCATTTTGACCGGGGGTGGTCAAAGCCGGGGGTTGTTTCCCTTTAACCAGGGGGTGACTTTGAAGATTGTAGAATCATGGGGCCCGTTTTAGAGCAATCTCTTTGGGGAAGGACCCCCTGTTTGAAGTTCTATGTTCATTTGCCGAGTGTTGTTTTTTCTCATTTGCCGCGTGTCGTTTCTGACGGAGCACGTGAAATGGGTCGTTTCAAGGAAAGGGAACCCAGGCCCCATTTCGAGGGTTGCCCTGTGAGACAAACCCATAGGTCTTGGAAAAGTAGTTGGCACCCTTTGGACCGTATCCCCTTTGAACACCCAAAGGACTCATGTCTGAATGGTCCAAGATATGATGTTTTGATCAGGAAACATAAGCACCCCTGATTTGGCCTAGAGGTTGCCAGGGCCCATTTTTTAAAAATTCAGCGCCCGGAAAAGAGGCATCAAAATAAAAACCCGCGAACTTTCGGATCCCAGACGGGATGAACGTGAAGCACGGAGGATGCACGGGCGATTTTGGAGATTTCACACGTCGAGTTCAGCCCCTAAGGTTTGCTTGTTACCGCTTCGACCAGGCTATGCCTCTTTTGGTTGCTTAAACCATTTGGCCACCTTTGCTGGGTTCACTCAGACTCGGTTCCAGAAGAGCATGTTTTTTTCTTGGGCTACTTGGGTTGCCGTTTGAAAGTAACAAACAAAGACGGGCGTCCTCTGGGCACGTAAGGGGCATT